CAGATGCTCAAACTTCAGAGGGAATGTAGGGGAGGGTGGGGATAAGGGGGAGAGATCAACCAAAGGACTTGTATGCATGCATATAAGCATAACCAATGGACATAGACACCAGGGGGGTGAGGGCATGAGTGGGGCGATAAGGACACATAGGTAATACCTTAATCAATAAAGAAAAAGAGAGAGAGAGAAAAGTCAGTGGGGAGAGAAGCACTTCCAAGTTTAATTCACAGAATTTTAGGATATGCAGAAAGAACACACTAGGATGCCAGCAAAGGTATGCTGCAGCTAGGGAGAAGGCCAAGGCAAAAGCAATACTTCCTTATAAATCCTCCTGGGATAATACTACCAGAGTTTCACTCAACAGCATATTACAGCTCACATTATAGTGCAGGGCTGCTAGAGCATTAAAAGTCATATTTTGAAGAGTACTGACAAGAAAATACTTATGATATAACCTTAAAGAAGGCAACACATAAAATTACTATTGTACTATTCTAACTTAGGGAAAAAGGTATGTGTACACACCAAATTTTTGTAAAGGATTAGAGGGAAATACACCAAAATATTTTTCTTCATCTGGGATTAGGATAACAGACCAGTTAATTTTTATTTTTATATCTATCTATATTTTAAAAATAACAATGAATGTTTTACTTTTATTTTTTAAATTTATTTATCTTTATTTTGTTGAGGGTATTACAGATGTCCCCATTATCCCTCCACTTTCTTTCTCCATCTGGTTCCCAACCCACCCCAGGCCTTCACCACAAATGTTCTACTTTTATAAGTAAACTAGAGGCCCAGTGCATGAAATTTGGGGGGGGGGGGGCGAGGGGGTGTCCTTCAGCTCAGCCTGTACCCTCTTGCAATCTGGGACCTCTTGGGGGATGTCGGTTTAGGCCCGATCCTAAAACGGCAGTCGGACATCCCTCTCGCAATCCGGGACCACTGGCTCCTAACTGTTTGCCTGCTTGCCTGCCTGCCTGCCTGCCTGCCTGATTGCCCCTTACTGCCTCTGCCTGCTTGCCTGATCACCCCTAACCACTCTGCCTGCCTGCCTGATCGCTCCTAACTACTTGCCTGCCTGCCTGATTGCCCCCAACCTCTTCTGCCTCGGCCACCGCTGCCACAGCTTCATCTGGAAGGTCGTCTGGAATGACATCTGGAAGGTCGTTTGTCTGGTCTAATTAGCATATTATGCTTTTATTATTATAGATTGCGTTTAAATCTCATTGAAAATTGAACATAACATACTGTGGGGACAACTGCTTTCTGGAAGACCCATTATATTATTCAATCATCTCTAAATTTCCTAACTTGCTCTAGCTGGTTTTGCTCAGTGGAAAGAGCGTCAGCCTGCAGACTGAAGGGTCCCAGGTTCAATTCTGGTCAAGGGTACATGCTTGGGTTGCAGGCTCGGTCCCCAGTTGGGGGCATGCAGGAGGCAGCTGATAGGTGATTCTCATCATTGGTGTTTCTCTCTCTCTCTCTCTCCCTCTTCTTTCCTCTCTAAAACCAATAAAAATATATATTTTTTAAAATTCCTAACTCAATGCATACAATGGAAGTAATATAGCTGTGCTGTCACCATGTTTTATTCTTCTGATCAGGCTGACTGGCCCAACAATGCCTTCCTCTCTGACCCGTCCATCTGCTCAACTCTGTTAGAAGATGACCTTTACAGAAGACTACTTTGGTGAAGACTAAGGCCCCAAACTGGAGTCCATGGGCTGAATTCAGACATGTTTTGTTTCACCAAACAGTGTTTCTAGAAGGCTGAATAAACTGTCAACATATAAAAAACCAGGACACTTCACATAGAAATGCAGATTTGCAGCTTCTCTTGCAAATCCAGAAAACTTGGCAACACTGAATTCACATCACACATGGCAACAATGAGTGAGGCAGGTGCTCTCCAGTTACCAAAGTCCCCACCACTCTATTGTCTTCCCAAAGCTCACATTAGTGCCAGTTACGCTTTATTGTTGTATTCATGCGGTGATTTCTCCCAATGAAGTAGGGAAGAAAGTGAAATGTTTCCAGTATCCATATTGTAATCAAAGCAGGGAAATAAAGCATAAACAAAGAGGACCATGTGTTTGAAGAAAAATGCAGACGTATTTCTCTTTGAAATGAAAAAATAATTCTGTATTTAATATGCAAATAACATGTCCGTGTCAAAAGAATACATAACACAATGTACATGCCTGTATGATGTAAGTAGCCTGGATCATAAAAGTAGCTATGTTCAGTTCCTCAAAAAATTAAACATAGAATTCCCATACAATCCAGCAATCCCACTTTTGGGTACATACACAAAAGAACTGAAGTCACGGTCTTCACTCACCCATGTCCATAGCACTATTATTCATAAGAGCCAAGGTATAGAAACAACCTAAATGTCTATTAACAGATGAGCAGATAAATATACACAATAGACTATTACTCAGCCTTAAAAAGGAAATAAATCCTGATACATGTGACAACATGAATAAACCTGGAGGGGCACTATGCTAAGTGAAATGTGCCAGTCACAAAATGACAAAAGTATGATTCCACTTATATAGGGTATCCAGTATAGTCAAATTCATATAGACATAAGGTATAAGGTTGTGAGGAAGGGGAGAATGGGGAATTGCTTAATGGGTACAGAGTTCCAGTTTTGCAAGATGAAAAGAATTCTGGAGACTGGTTGCAGAAAAATGTAAATGTACTCTACACAACTGAAGTTGAAATCATTAAGATGGTAAATATTGTTATGTGTATTTTACCACAACTAAAAGTTTTAATTAAAAATTAAGTAGCTATGTTCCCCTGACCAAATCTTCAATTCTATTTATTGCTGTCTTTTCTTTAGCCTTACTTTGTAAAAAAAATTCTAGCTAATTCCATTTTCTGGTTTTAAATTGAACTAATCAAGAAATGGCACCCTGCTATTATTAAAAAGCAAATCTCAAAGATCATTAATAGATACCAAGACCATTAGGTGAAAGGCTATTAGATAATAGGATACATGCATGATGCTAGAATATAACCCTACAGACTACTTGCTAATTGCCAATGGTGAAACAACTTATCTTTTACGATGGTGAGATCTAGTAGACATCATCTTACCAAGTAATCAAACTTGACATCACTAACTATGGAATAACTCAACATCATCTGTCTGTTAGTATGTTGCATATGAAATAGTCTTATTCATGAACTTCTCTTACCAAAAACATTTAACATGAATCTAATCAAGGCAACAGACTTAACTTCCAGTTTACAGAAAGTACAGAGGAAATATGAGGAATCATTTTATAAGAAAGCTAGCCTGGACTCATCAATATAGGAAATTTGAATATGGTCTGGATGTTAGGTATTAGGGACTTACTGTTAATATTCTTAGGTGTGATAAGGGTATTATTATTATGTAGGAGAATGTCCGTATTCTTAAGAGATATATAATGAAGTATTTAGGGGAATGCCATGATGTCTGCAATTTCCTTTCAAATAGCTTAGCAAAAAGAAAAAGGGTATATATACATACATAAATAGATAAAGCAAATATGGCCAAACTTTAACAGTCATTTAATTCAGGTATATAGGTATTCATTGTTCTATTCTTTCCACTTTTCTGTATGTTTGAAATTTTTTTAAAAAGAAGTTGGGGGAAATTATAAAGGAAGAAAAACAGCGAAGTTCTCTTTTTTAAGAGTCTATTAATAGAATTTCCCATTCTACTCTCTGCATATTCTACTAGTAGTCTTAATACTAAGTGGTTAAAATAGGATAAATCATTATATGCAAACAACAAAAAAAGAAGTATGGATAGAAGACTGAAAGATAATAAGACAAAATGTTAAAAGTGATTATCTCTAGCTAGTGGGACTTGATGGATTTTTTCTCACTTATATATTTTCTCAATATTTTACAGTACATCTTTTACCTTTAAAAAGCTTTAAAAAGGTTGTTTTAGGCAACAACTTTAGAACGTAAGCATTACAGAGGTATCATAGACATTGCTGTGTCAGTACAAAACTGGCAAAAATAGATATTGAAGAACTAATTCACTGTGAATTTGAACAAATCAAAATGCTATCTCAAATAATGTAATATCTTCTCTCACATACATAACCTCCAAACATTAAGTAGAAATAAAGACAACTGATAATTTCTGGTCCTTTCATAGGTGATAAGGAGCTTCTTACCTTATTTTTTAGGTTAACAAGAATCTTGCACAGTATAAGATGACAGTTCACAATTGTATGGCTTTATATATAAAAAAGTATTCTTTGAAAATTCTAGAAACTGAGTATACAACAATATCAGGAAATTGTACTCACCCTCCACAGACCCTTGGTACCTTCTTGCTGGTATATATCAATGAAGCTGCCAATCATGCTGCCTTGAAACAAGCTTCCCTGAGCCTGCATTCGAATCTAAAATAAGAAAAGGTGAACATTTTGTTTTGACTGGAAGAACAAAATGAGATATTTCACTCATTTAACATTTAAGAAAATAGTTTTTGGGGATTAAAGAAAAATCAGGCCTAGCCAGCATGGCTCAGTGATTGAGCATCAACCTACAAACCAGGAGGTCACAGTTCAATTCCCAGTCAAGGCACATGCCTGGTTGCGGTTAGATCCCCAGTGTGGGGCATGCAGGAGGCAGCCTATCAATGATTCTCTCTCATCATTGTTGTTTCTATTTCTCTCTTCCTTTCCCTTCCTCTCTGAAATCAATAAAAAATTTTAAAAAATTAAAATGAACCTGCTATTATTATGAAGTTAATGACTTAAACTATATATAGAAAGTATCTATAATAATAAGAGCATAATATGCTAATTAGACCAGACATCCTTCTGGACGACCTTCCGGATGAAGCCGGGGCTGCAAGGGAAGCCCAGGTCCTGGGTGCCTGCCAGCAGCCAGAGGGAAGCCTGGGTCCCAGGTGCCAGAGGGAAGCCGGTGCCGGCAGCCAAGGGAAGGAAGGCCTGCTCTTGCACGAATTTCATGCATCGGGCTTCTAGTATCTTATAAAGATGATTTAATCAGCCTCACATTCCTCATACGTAGGTCTATCATTTCTGGAGTTGAAAAAAAACTTGAGGAAAAGAACGAACAAGTACTCAGTGTAGGTAGAAAACAATTCATTTAAAATTTAAGTAATTTAGTGAAAAATTAAAACAGTCAACATGTCCAAAAACCACAAAGGATTGGCTGCATAAATCTATGGTGCATCCATTCATTTAATGGAATACTGTGCAGCCATAAAATTATGTTGGAGAATATTTGACATTGAAAAAATGTCAACAAGTAATCGCTAAATAGAAAAAAAACAGGCTGCAGAGCAGTGTGTATGCTATATAATTTTTATTAAAAGTATGTTAACTTAAAATAAGCCATATGCACAACAAAGAGAGTGGATGAACATACACACGCAAATGTTGACCATGGCTTAAGTCTGAGAGATGAGGCTATCCATGAGCATTTTTCCCCCTTTTTGCTTTTTCTGCATTCCACTTTTTTTCTACATTTAACATGCACTGCTTATGTAATTATAAAAAGCAAAAATGTTTCAATGTAATTTTATGCTACAAGACATTAAACTGAATTTTATTTGTAAAAAAGCATAATACTATATTCTGCAAAGAAAAATCAGCCTGCTATTATTATGAGAAGAGCACAAGAAAGGAGATAGAGCACTCTGCACACACAGAATCACAGGAGGTGCCCTAGCCAGTTTGTTTCAGTGGACAGAGCATCAGCCCATAGACCAGTGGTTCTCAACCTTCCTAATGCCGCGACCGTTTAATACAGTTCATGTTGTGGTGACTCCCAACCATAAAATTATTTTCGTTGCTACTTCATAACTGTTATTTTGCTACTGTTATGAATCATAATGTAAATATCTGATATGCAGGATGTATTTTCCTTGTTACAAATTGAACATAATTAAAGCATAGTGATTAATCACAAAAACAATATGTAATTATATATGTGTTTTCTGATGGTCTTAGACGACCCCTGTGAAAGGGTCGTTCGGCCCCCAAAGGGGTCGCGATCCACAGGTTGAGAACCACTGCCATAGACTGACCTGTCCCAGTTGGATTCAGATCAAGGGCATGTACCTTCGTTGCAGGCTCAATCCCGGCCCTGGTCAGGGAGCGTGTGGGAGGCAACCAATCAATGTGTCTCTCTCACATTGATGTTTCCCTCACTGTGTCTCTCCCCCTCACTCTCTCTAAAAATCAATGGAAAAATATCCTCGGATGAGGATTAACAACACACAAAAAAAGAATCACAGGAGTCATCACTAAATACTAGTGGCCCAAATGTAGCCCTGATTTTCATGAAGCAAAACTCTAGGTTTCCATAAATATCGTGTAATAGCAACATGTCTCTATATAGAAAATCAACTGCTACTACTAAGAGTTGAAATAAAAACCTTAACCAAATTATATCAGAATAGAAATCACCACAAAGACAAGCTGAAACCACAAATACCATATGATAAGTACAAGATTTCTTTAAGGAGATGATTCCTGAGCAGGTCTCGGACTAAGGTGGAGCAACAAGCAGGGCACTTCCCTCAGGCACAAAATGTAGGAGGAAAACACAAAAAACTTCAGTAATCCAGATAAATAACATCTTAATGAAACATTTTTTTAAAAAATCAAAATTAATGCACAAAAACCAACAATGAACCAAATATCAAAATTGCAACTAAAATAGGATCCAACACAGTGGGATTAAGGTGAGGCAAGGAAGATAAATTGTACAAAATATTGATATTCTATTCACCATTAATTTTTTGCATTCATCTTAATTTCTGAAAAATATTGCATAAAAACATTATCTCTTGATTACTGAGTTTTTTGGTACCTCCTTACATGTTGCAACCAAAGAGATTGCCTTACTTGTCTCGTCCTAGTCCTGGCCCTGTTCCTAAGAAGTCTTGAAGGATAAATTCATAAGGAAAGGGCGGGGTAAGCAACTGAGGCAGAAACAGAACTATATGCACAAAGGCAAAGAAGCAACACATAGTAAATCAGAGAAAGAGCTGCCCAAGGATAAAAGGATTGAACAGCCCAACTGTGATTATAAATCTTATATTGTTACCATCACAGTCTAAGTTTGTGACCTGGGATTCTCTCACGCTTTTTATCATATATTTAGTGTTTTTAATTAACCTGATTATTCTGATTCATTATACATTTAAATAAGTTAAATAGAAAATGCCTTTTAATGAGATAAAATAAGGTAAAGATTTATATTAAAATAAATGTTTCATTCTGTGTTTTGATAAAATCTGAAAGCAATCCATATTTTGAAAACTCAGCACCACTAACCTATATTGTTCTGTTTCTGAATTCAGAATATCCCAATGCAAGCCAAAATATGCATACCATTTTAAAGCCAAATCTCACTCTTAATAGAAATATGGATAAGACAGGAAAAGACAGAAGCATTGTAGACTGAAGGTACCTCAATTAGGTACTCAAAGAGGCTTTTCCAAAAACTACATTTCGATTTATTCCTTTGTTCGGTTCGACAGGTTACACCACAGGTCAATATACCATACTAAGCTCTAGAAGGGGTAGTAAGGGATATGCCTTTCTTTTGTAAAGTGGGGAAAGGACTATTATATATACAAGTTCTCCCTCAGATCACTTTTAGAAAAGAGTACAAATGGAAGTAGGGATCTTGAAATTGATTTCCTTAAAATTGCTAGCCCTTGGAAAGAACCTATAAAAGGTTTCAATATTCTAGTTTGAAGACCAATCGATTAATGCATACCTTAACAAATTGACTACTATTTATTGAGCATCTGCTATGAACAAGTACAATGACAGGCAGTTTATATATATTATCTATAATCCTTAACAACCTTATGTGATTAAGTACTGAATTATCTTCATTTTACAAATGAGAAAACTGAGGCTTAAAACAATTAAGTGATTTACCCAAAGTTTTACAGCTGACAAGTGAGAGTGGGGAATCTGACTCAAAACTCATGCTCTTTTCACATCACACTGCACATCCAATGCTACCAGACCTCTCTTACCTTTAGTACATCGGTGGGATTGGCTATAGTGGAAGATATCACTCCTGACACTACCCCACAGATCATATTAATTAGAAGAGTTTCATCTGTAAAAAGGAGGGGGGAGAAAGAAAGAAAGAACGAAATGTCTGCTTGTATTAGGTACCAGTTTCTAAGAACAGAGTACTGAGCTATCAAAGGAAGAGAAAACTAGTCAGAGAAATGACTGCAGAAATGAACCACAAAGTTTATGAAAATGAACACATATTTCTAGATCTCAAATCAGTACTGAAACGTATAAAACTGTAATACATAAATCATTTTTAAAAAAACTATTTCTAAAGGACACTGGAACATGTTCTATTATTATATGTAACTGCTAATTACACACACAAATTCAAATGTGGTATTTTACCTTTCAATCATTTCAAACATCTAAAGAAAAGTATTTTTAAGTCTTTTTCTGGAAAATCATCAACTCAAAAAACTCAGGACTGAATGTTACGAGATAAATGATACTCACTTATTATATGGAATATAATGAACAAAATAAACTGACGAACAAAATCGGTCCAGAGTCATGGATGCATGGAACAGAATGACAGATCTCAGTGTGGAGGGGGGTGGAGGGGATGGGAAGAGATTAACCAAAGAATACATCCACATATACATAAACCAGGGACACAGACAATAGTATGAGGAAGGCCTGGGGTGGAGGGGGGCAAAGGGTGGGGAAATAGGGGATATCTGTAATACTGTCAACAATAAAAAGTTTTTTAAAAGATAAAATCTTTACCCTTGCCAGTTTGACTCAGTGGATAGAGCGTCTGCCTGTGGACCGAAGGGTCCCGGGTTCGATTCCGGTCAAAGGCATGTACCTCGGTTGCAGGCTCCCCCCTGGCCTGGGCCTGGTCAGGGTGCATGCAGGAGGCAACCAATCGATGTGTTTCTCTCACATCAATATTTCTCTCTGTATTTCCCTCTCTCTTCTACTCTCTCTAAAAAATCAATGGAAAAATATCCTCAGGTGAAGATTTAAAAAAAAGATAAAATTTTTGTCTAATAGAAAAAAAATTGTCGAAATATTAATTGTGATTGGCCTTAATATCTATTAGCCTCAATATCTACTAGCCTCTATTTATTTACAGGAGATTTCTATAATCAAATGTGAAAAACTGGTCATTTGGAAGTAAATCCCCTCAGCTACCAAAAACAAAACAAAACAGAAAACCCACAGAGCCCCTGGCCAGATGGCTCAGTGGGCTGGAGCATTATCCCATTCATCAAAAGGTTGCGGGTTTAATTCCTGGGCAGGGCATATACCTAGGCTGCATGTTCAATCCCCGGTCAGGGCGCATGCAGGGGGCAACCTATTGATATTTCTCTCTCACATAGATGTTTCTTTCTCTCTCCCTCTAAAATCAATAAAAACAGCCCTAGCTGATTTGGCTCAGTGGATAGAGCTTTAGCCTGCAGACTGAAGGGTCCCAGGTTTGAGTCCAGTCAAGGGCACATGCCCAGCTTGCAGGCTCAAACCCCAGTAGAGGGCATGCAGGAGGCAGCCGATCAATGATTGTCATCATTGATGTTTCTCTTCTCCCTCTCCCTTCCTCTCTGAAATCAATAAAAAATATAAGTTTAAAAGATAAATAAATCAATAAAACCAATAAAAACATATCCTCAGATAAGGATTTAAAAAAACACACACAGAGCATATTTTTTCTGAAGTTAAAATGCAATCTTCACCATGCCTCTTCACCATGAAGAACCCACAAATAGAAACTAGGTAAACCCAAGTGAACAATCTGTGAAAGGAAATTACTTTAGGAAGAGAACCCTTCAGGATCCTCAGAGAAGAAGCTCCAGAATAAGTTGATTTAGTAAAGTGATTCAAAGGCCATTGCTAACCAAAAGGTCCTCCAGCTGTCTCCAACCATGCAACAGTTCCAGGCCTGTGGCAAAATAACCATTTAGTACAGCACCAGGCTGGAAATGTTGCAGCAGCAAATACAAGGCCATATAATAATGCTGACTGTGGATAAGGTGGCCCTAGGTACATCAGTATCTAGAATAACCTAAAATTACTCCACCTAACAAACGTTTGTCAAACTCAGCAGCTAGAGAAGTCCTTATAGTGGGAGTCCTCTTGTTGCAGCATTAATTTTCTGGACAAGCTTATTCCATGTTCCCTGTGATGGCCAGAAGCCTTCTTTTCCCTTTGACAGGAAAAAGAACAAACTTGAAGAGCAGATCCCTCTAACACATTATCACCTCTACAAGGATTAATCCCAAATCAGTACAAGCTCACTTTGTCCTTGCAATGACTGTTACCCATTCTCACCCAAAATGAACACTTTCTCACGAAGCGTGATTTCAATAATCCCCTTGAGTATTACCCCCAAAGAAAATGAGGAGTCTATACTGACCTTCTAAACGTTCTACAAATAATCTCTTCAAGCTTTGATAAATGCCAATTTTAATGGTGCCATATGATGCCTGTCTTAGTAAAGCAGGAGCAATTCTGCCCAAAAAAAGGGGGAAAAGTCAATTATATTCAACATGTCCTTGCAAATTATACATGTCTAGACAGATTACTCATTTCCATTAGCTATTTCATTCTACCCAACAGCAAAATATATTTTCAAGCACCCATGGAATATTCACCAAGAGAGAGCATTTTAGGGTACTAAAATAAACCTCAACAAACTTTTAAAAATTGAAATCATATAGGTTATGTTCTCTGGCCATAATGGAATTAAACTAGAAATCAAGAAGGAAAATCCTTCAACATTTGGAAATTAAACAGCATACTTCTAAACAATCCATGGATCATAGGAAGTCTCAAAGGAAATTTTAAAAATACATAGAACTGAATGAAAATGAAAAATTCACCCTTTAAAATACGTGCAATGCAGCCAAAGCAGTGCTGAAAGAGAAATTTATAACACAAAACACTTAGATTAGGAAAGATAAAAAGCCTCAAATCAATCATCTAAATTCCTTCCTCAAGAAACTAGAAAAAGAGCAAAATAAATCCAAAGCAAGCAGAAGGAAGGCAATAATAAAGAGCATAAGTTAATAAAATTGAAACAGGAAAATTGAGAAAATCAATGAAACAAAAAGTCAGCTCAAGAAGTCAAAATATTAGCAAATTGAATCCAGCATTGTACGAAAAGTATACACCATTACCTGCATCATAGGTACAGTCTTAAAAATCAACCTTACTTCCTAACAGTTGCAGATACATCTTTCATCCTTTCAAGAAGGAGGTACCAAGGCCAAGAATTCACCCTATTTAAGTTATAAACTGGTGACATTCTCACTCTTGTGTCCTTTGAGATCCTTCCAAATTACAAAACTATATTTTAGTAGTTATAAATAGAAAGACAGCAGAAGCTCAGCCAGTTAGGGAAAAAATGATGGATGAATATGCATATTTCTGACTTTATTTGCTTGCTATCAGAAAAATATAATCTTGTGATTATCCATGCTGATGAAAGAATATGGATGTATTACTTGATTTTCCCCCAAGAAAATTCTTTGAAATTCAGCCTAACATAGATTAATAATAAAATTGATGTCTATTCTGTGAACAATAAACTGGTAGCCTAGATGCAGGAGTAGCCTAGGAAACTGGCAGCAGATAACAAATTGGACAATAAACCACAAAGATATGGCTAATCAAAAGTTGACCCCTAATAGCTGCACACACTTATAAATGAACACAAAATCCAAAGCTCAAGGCTTTAAGCAAGTGAAATATAAATTGACACATCAATATTCAATTACAAGTTGAAATGGTGAATATGAACAGCATAAACTATCAGACAGCTAAAATACGTGACATCTTTAAAAACTATTTCTATTCATGATGGAAGGTAAGAATCCAGTTTTACCCTGAATACAAAGCCAATACACCTTCTTCTTTATAGATTCGGAACAAGGCATGAAACATTCCTCGGTATTTTATCTCTTTGAAGCGGGCATCAATGCTTTGGCCTTGAACCTGCAGTCGAGTTTTGGTTAGGTCCACAGGAAAAGTTCCTATAAAGAACACACTCATTTATACGTTTTTTCAAGGAATCACAGTTAACTGTTGGCTGAATGTGTGCAAATGACATTTTTTCCCTTTATTTTATTACTAGAGGCCCAGTGCATGACATTCGTGCACTGGGGGGGTAGGGTCCCTCAGCCCGGCCTGTGCCCTTTCGCAGTTTGGGAGCCCTCAAGGGATGTCCGACTGAAGGTTTAGGCCTGCTCCCCACCTAAGCAGGCAGTCGGACATCCTTAGCACTGCCGTGGTTGTGGAAGAGGCTCCCACCACCACACTGCACTCACCAGCCATCAGCTTGACTTCTGGCTGAGTGGCACTCCCCCTGTGGGAGCGCACTGACCACCAGGGGGCAGCTCCTGCATCGTGCGTCTGCCACCTGGTCAGTGCGCATCATAGTGACCTGTTTTTCCTCCGTTTGGTCGATTTGCGTATTACCCTTTTATTATATAGGATTTTTTCCCCAATCGCCATTTATTCCCCATATACCCTCTTTCACCTCCACCAATCTTCCTCCCTGCCATGAAGTCACCACACAATTGGCCAATGATATTTTTTTAAAACATAAGACAAATTTTTCTTATAACACATAGAAGAACACTCGAATACCACTGTCTTAAGTCATGTCTTGTAAGTGGTAAAGTGAAATGCACTGTATTCTATCTGGTCAACAGGATTTTACCCATAGTATAATTGAAATTGTAATATAATAAAGTGCTTTTAAGATTGTCCTTATATATAGTAAAGGCAAAATAATTTAAATGTTTTAATTTCATGTGTTACATACAATCTGGCATTTATCTCTGTCTCTTCCTTCTGCCCACTTCAAGTCTCCCCACTTCTCCCTCTTAAAATCTTCCTAAATTTTAACAAAGAAGATATGTACTGTGGTATGTATAAATTGATGTTAGTTTTACAAACTAACAAATTGATAATAAATTTTAATTAGCTAATGTGGAAAAAAAAAAGCTTTCTAAGTTTGACTTAACTTCACTTTCCATACCATTAATAGTACTTTCCCAGAAAATGTTAATTGATGGCTTTGAGACAATAGTTTTTAAAACAAACAGGACCTTTCTTTTTTCTCTTTCTCTAGCATTCACCAAAAGTTGCCATTTATATCATAAGAAGCAGATTTTTCAGTTTTCACATTCTTACCAAATTCCGCAACAATAGAGGCAAGGCCGCCATATACAAAGGGTTTCCAATTCAGACCAGACATCTCATGGCTTCCAGTGTCACTTTTCTGATGCTAAAAATAAACATAAATCAGAACAAGGCACAAGAGTAAGGAATATCTATCAGTGTCTGATCACATAACACACATCAACAAATTTGGCAAATAAAACAGACATAGAGGAACAACCCTACCAAATGGAATGACAAAAAAATGGGAGATCCCATTTTATGTGGTAGATGATCATGAATGTGTTTACTGCCACATAGGGGCAGGGGTGAGAATCACTCAAAGATCAACCTGTGCCCTTCATTCTAATTTAATTTTATCCCCATCCCCACCCAAAGAAGTTCCAGACCATCCAGCACACACAACTTAGACATTCAACTAGACAATTACTAGTGAAGGAACCTGGAGTTCAAATTATATAGGCCAAGGCATCTCATAAAAGCAGTTCATGCTATTCAGTCACATTTATTTGTGTGCAAAACACAGCTGACACCACTACCCTCACATATACTTAGCCCTCTCATCTTACCACTAAACTTTATGATTTTAGTTCATGTATCTCATTCTAGCTATCCACAACCCCCCCCCCGCCCCGCCCCACTAGGTCCAGGCTGAGTTAAACACCTTTTCACCTTCCTTCTGGTTCCCAAAGGAATGACAGAAATATCGTATCTTTCTTCTCTGTGACATTTAACATCCAGTGAATCTTCTTTTCCCTGGCCTTTTAAAGCATGTGCATACAAATGTTGTTTTTCTTTGAGTTCAGGTTCTTTAACAAGGTATTCTACTCTTCATCTCCTTTTCTTCCTTTCTCATCCCACCCCCAGTAGACTTGTCATCTTCAATCATTTCAAGTTTTTTTCCCTGCCACTCTCAGCTCTCTCTCTTGAATTCTTTCCTTATAGTTCTGCCCTCTAGATCAGTGATTTTCAAATTTTAATGTGCACCAAAATCATCTAGAAGGTGGATTAAAAAATAGATTGTTGGGCCTCACCCTCAGGGTTTCTGATTGGTGGTCTGGGTCTGGACTATTTGCAAGTTTCCAAATAATGCTGATGCTAAAAAAAGACACAGCCAAATAATACTGATGCTTCCACACGTTAAGAATTACTACTCTTGCCGAAACCGGTTTGGCTCAGTGGATAGAGCGTCGGCCTGCAGACTGAAAGGTCCCAGGTTCGATTCCGGTCAAGGGCATGTACCTTGGTTGCGGGCATATCCCCAGTGGGGAGTGTGCAGCAGACAGCTGGTCGATGTTTCTCTCTCATCGATGTTTCTGACTCTCTATCTATCTCCTTTCCTCTCTGTAAAAAAACTCAATAAAAAAAAAAAAGAACTACTACTCTTGGCATCACCTACTAAATCCTAGTCCAGCTGAAATTACCTCTTTTCTTAAGTTGAGCTCTCGGATTTCTTTAAATATTCCTTTTTCAGCGCTTCACAGATGTATATTATTGAATTTCAAAAGCAACTTCAAGTAGTTTATAGTCAGGAATGAAGACTCTGAAATCAGACTGCCTAGGTTCAAGTCCTGACAACAACACATACTAGTTCTGTGATCTTGGGCAAGTTATTTAACCACTCTATTTCTGGGTTTTCCTGAACTATAAAATGGGGATAATAATAAATACTATATTATAGGGTTGTTGTGAAAATCCTATGTAATAAAGTGGCAATATGCAAATTGGCCATCCCTCCAACACACAAGATGGCCGCCCCTCCCATGTGGACAAAAGATGGCCTGCAGGGGAGGGCAGCTGGGGGTGACCAGGCCTGCAGGGGAGGGCAGTTGGGACAATCAGGCCAGCAGGGGAGGGAAATTAGGGGTGACCAGGCTGGCAAGGGAGGGAAGTTAGGGGTGACTGGTCCAGCAGGGAAGGGCAGTTAGGGGCAATCGGGCTGGCAGGGGAGCAGTCAGGCATCTATCAGGCTGGCAGAGGAGTGGTTAGGGGCAATCA